CATTTCTTAACAACTGCATATCAAATTGATTTATTGATAACAAATATTTATAAAAACTAATAGTAGTTTTTTTTAGTTTTAAATGATTTAACAAGTAGTTCTAGTATCTCTGGTGTCTCCAAAGCTGAAAATGCTGCTGGCCAAACAAAGTTGTTAACAAATATTGTAGCTGTAGATATTGCCATTAGGCTACATCTGATATATTTATCTCTTAACACAGTGTATGTTAAAAATTCATCTTCATCTCTCAGTTGGTCCAAAGTCAATATTCTTGTTTTATTGTAAACTGTCCAGAGCTGCTCCTTGAGTGAGATGGGCAATGACTAAATTTGAAATATAAATAAATAAATATCCCCACTTCCATCCAATTTTTCCATATCACCATCTTTTTCCCAATTTTTAAAGTTAGGTTTTCCCATAAAGTCAATTTAGCATGAGAAAAAGGATCAAATCTTCTCTTATCATATTACATTCCATAACTTTCTGACACAATTGTTTCCAGAGATATTAGAGTTCTAGTGTATTTTGATCCTAATACTGTCCTTCCAACCAAAGGGATTATATATGTATATTCCAAAATTGTCAAAATAGGAAAGTTAGCACCAATTGTTGGTTTCCAGTATTTAATACTTGACAATAGGTAAGCATGATGATATAGCTCCAGATTTGGAAAACCAAATCCTCCTTCATTAATTGGTAGTTGCATTTTCTGTAAAGATATTTTCAGAATCAACCTCACAGAAATTTTCTAAACAAAGAATTTATTTTCTGAAAATATTTTCCAGATATATGAACTAGCATTCCTCTCACAATACAAATTAATCTGGGAATAATATTCATTTTGAGAGTCTTCACCTTTCCCCAAAGTATAAGGTTTAATGACTCCCATCTATCGATATCTGAGGAAACCTCCCCATATATTTTCTTTGTATTGCATACTACTAACTGAGATATATCTTTCGGTATGCACATACCTAGGTATTTAATGGATTTGGTACAAATACAGAATTGATATTCCTTAAATGGATGGGTAACTAAATTTTCAGCTATTAGCGTCAATTCTGATCTGGACCAGTTGATGGAGTATCCTGCTATGTTACTAAAGACATCTATTATTTGCATCAACACTGGCATAGTAGTGTGAGGTTTAGAAATAAACAAAAATGTCATCTGCAAATAAAACGCCCATCTCACATATGTGACTCTGGGCTGCTTACAATAAAATAGATAAATAAAATACAAAATATAAAAACACAGAGCAGCCGAGCATCACAAAATAACCATCAACAAAGCCAAAAGACAGGTTTTATCAGACATCCAGGGCCCCAGGCTAGGGCACAAAACCAAGTTTTTTAGGGCCTTGTGAAAGGCCAGCAGGGTCAGTGCTAACCTAGTCTTGGTTGGAATGATGTTCCATAGGGAGGGCACTATGGCAGAAAAGGCTCTCTTTGTGGGCCTTGGCAGCTGACAATCCTTAGTCAGATGGCATCCTGAGTATGCCCCTCCTGCCGGACCAGGTGGGACAGGTAGAAACAATTGGGGAGAGATGGTCCCGTAAGTAGCTCAGACCAAGCTATGAAGGGTTTTAAACGTGACTACCAGCACCTTGAATTGCACCCAGAAGCACAGTGGGAGCCAATGCAGCTTGCGGAGCAATGGTGTCATGTGCACCAAAAAATCGACTCCATTAAATGCCCGTGCTCTCCAAGGGTAGCCCCATGTAGAGCATGTTGCAGTTGGAGCTCACAAGCAGGACCCCCCAATCCAAAAATGGGTGCAACTGACATGCGACCCAAAGCTGTGCAAAGGCTCTTGAGCAGGAGCCACGAGTCCAGGAGGACCCCAAGATTGCGTATGGGGCCTGTCTAGGACAGTGTCACCCCATCCAGATCCAAAGATGGGAGGCCCAAAAACCCAGAGACACTCAGTCTTGTTTGGGTTGAACTGAAGCCTTTTGTGGCCTGTACGGGCCCCCACAGCTTCCAGACACCGAGACACAACCTCCACAGCAGCACTCAGGCAGCCTGGGGTAGAGATGTAAAGCTGAACATCATACTGATGATACCTTAACCCAAACTGTCAGATGACCTCACCCAGAAGCTTCATGTACTGTAGATGTTAAACATAACCATAGCTAATGGGATCTCTAGAAGCCCATGAAATAGTCACTTTACCCATCTTAGGGAGAGAATTCTTGCTTTTCTTGGATGAAACTGGCAAGTTGGCAATTACTCTTGTGCATTTTAAAGTTCACAGATAAACTTCAATTTAAGAAAACAAATATGAAAAATACTGATATAGTAACAGAGAAATGAAGGAAGGCACACTAGAAAATAAGATAAAGTAGCTATAGTAAGCAGTTATAAGGCTAGCTCCTGTTAGGAATTGACAAAGAATACCTGACTTAAATCTCATATAGGTAATGGTTCATAATTGCCTGTCATCAGAAGGAGCGGGGAGAATTGGGCAGGCATTTCCCTGCCACCTCAGATAATTTTTACAGAAAAATTTGTCCTCTGAATATGGGAGAAAGGTTGAATCTAGAAGTTATATTTATTCTTGTATTAAATATTAGTATATGTTATATTTTTCTTACATGCTACTTTAGGACAAGTCCTGAAAATTTTAGCTTTGAAACTAAAATCTCCACACTGGCAAAAGAAAAGGTCCACCTCCACTTGTGCTTTTAAAAAGCCTTCTGAGACTTGCCTTTGGTTACAGGATGTAGCAGGATCAGGTAATGTTATTTTGTCCAGAAAATCTCTTGAAGATTGTCACCAGAATGTATAACTGGAGCAAACTGGCAAGTGACATTCACTGGTAGTTAGAGAACTGATGTTCATTAGAGCAAGAAACAAAAAATCCTTAACTTCTGAATTGCCTGCCTGTGATTATCTCAGAAAGAGATCTTGATGTGTACAGTTTACTGGAAATATAACTTGGTGTGCTATAACAGAGGAAAAGACAATAAAATGTATTATTAATTACTAATTTCAGGAGGTCAATGCAGGCTTCCACAAGTGCATCTTCTGAAAGGTAATTTATCTCCTCTAAAGGAAGAAAAATATTTAAATTCCCCTGTGTTTATACCTCTATGATCTCAGGCTGCTTACATTACATTTCAGCTAGTGTCTGTCTGTCTGTCTGTCTATCTATCCGTCTATCTAAAACCTGTCAATTTCAGGTGTGTTTAGATTATATCTGGCCTGTCTCTGAGTATTGGCATTTCTTAGAAAAGAGATTAGCATGAGACAGACATCAGATTTCCTTGATACAAATTTGTGTTGAAGCTGTATATGGTTTCAGTCACTGTATTTTCTGAACACACATCCCTAAATGATGGACTTCACAAATTGAATTGGTGGCTACCAGTGTGAACAAGGAGGTTTAATCATATGGCTTCTATAGAACAGCTAACATATCTGGGGGTTTTAAATAATTAAGAAAAGTCATAATAAATTAAGGAAAATTAAGGATAATTAAGAAAAGTCATGATACCATTAAAAAGTAACTTTTCTATTAAAATGTTAGCGTTGCCAATCGTTTTAGAAAAAGCATCAAGAAGCATCACTATCCTCAGTACATGGTTAACATTTAGAATCTATTGCTTCAAGATGTAGTTCTGCTTTTAAAAGAGTTTAGATAAATTCAAAAACAATGGGTCTAAAAAATCACTGTCAGCCATTGCAACTAAATGGAATTTCCATATTCAAAGGCAGTGTTGGTGAAGTTGCCTTTTTTCCAGTGGTAGCACAATACACCATAATCAAACCAAAGTAACAATATGCCTGCAAGGATATCATCACACAAGTATGCCACCATTATGAACTTGCATCCCAAAGTCTGAGGCAAGTATGTACTGTAACTTGCAGCATTTGCATGATGACATCATGCCAAAAACTTGGCTTCTAGGCAGAGGTCCCATTAGAAAACATTTACAAACTAGGAAAAACCTAATGGAATATGTGTTTGAAGAGATGTCTGAGGTACAGGCAAGGGAAGTTCCAGATTTAATGCCTGTGTTTCTCATTGTCATTATAGAGATGAAAACTGTTAAGAAGATGCTCGAGAGCTGCAAACATTACCAGGAAAGAAACTGAAGAGGTTTTCTGATGCTTATAAAGCAAATGTGGTTGCACTGAGAGTCTGAACTGCTAAATAGAATTATATACCTGGAGGCGGTATCTGCCCACACTTTTAAAATGAATTGTAAGAAATCTAATAATACCTTTTTTTTTTTTCAGGCAACCAACATAAAGCGTGAAATGACCTTTGCAGCATTTCAAAAGGAAGACCTAAAAAGTGATTTGAATCAAAAATTCTCAGATCAGCAATTTTTTGTGTTGGCTATGAAGGAAGAGGATTCAAAAACAGCAGACACCAAAAAGATTGGCAGAGTCCATGACCATGAAAAAGAAAATACTCGTTCTATCTGCCTTCTCGAACAGAAGCGCAAAGTTGTATCTTCAAACATTGATGTGCCTCCAACAAGGTAGAGAAATGAAAAAGTAGGAAAGGAAAGAGCATTGATACAATTCTGAGTTTATTTTATGTTGTTCTTTCTGTTGTTTCAATGTCTCAGATAACTTAGATAATGCTTTTATACAATTTGAATGCAAGTGTTAGTGGGTGGAGGGTGACTTGTTAGGGGTCACTGATCTTGGAATCCTATAGGAGACCTAGGTTTACTGGGCAGCCTTGAACATCTGGTCTCTGTCCCATAAAAGTCAAACAGGAATAAATAACTGTTGTAATTATTTATGTCAGTTTTTCCCAACACTTTGTGAGGAATAAATAATGAGAAATCATTAATAAAAATAGATGCAATTATGACCCCACCTAGCACATTAAGCAGTGGCCTTTTACATGCATAGCAGGGTAGGTAATTTCCTAGACTGGTGTTCTGTGGTCCTCCAGAGGTCTCAACTACAGCTCCTCCTTTCTGCAGTCTGGTGCACAAACAAGGTAAGGGATTGGGGAAAGCCACTAGTCCAAGATCCATGTCAATCACGTGACTTAATATATTATATTAAGTCACAATTTCCCTGATCTAATTTTGGTTTCCTATTTGATTCGTAAACTGGCTTTCTAGTTTGAATAAAGTAGGATGCTTTAAAAAAATTCTAAGCTGGGCATATCAAGAATGGGCAAAGAGCACTGTGACCACACAACTCATTTTTAGAACCATGGTTTATTAGGCCAAGATATTATATCTGAATCAGGCATCTGTCAAAGCTAATTAGGTGCAACACCTGTGCTAACTGGAAAACTTTTTTTCTCCTTTCCCTCCTCGGCTTAGTGCTTGCATTGGGGTATTTACAAAAGACTGTTAGAACATGCTTACTGTAATTGTATGTATGTTGCTGCTGAAGACATTCCGTGTAATATTCTCTGATGGAGGCACTTTCTGTAGTGTGCATAGAGACTGCAAACTCATTTCTGAGAATTTGTGTTGGTTGTCACCTATGAAGTTGGTATAAAAGCAAACACTGTGGGATTTTGGGGGCTGATATTCTCACTCATTCACTCACTGCTAAAAACAAATGAGTGATTTGAAGCCTTGATATTTCACCACTAACCACTTAGAGATGTGATTTATAATAACCTATCATTGGAAGGGGGCATGTAGGCCATCAAGAATAATGCCCTACTCAGGGCAAAAAATCATAAGTAGTTTTTTGCCTTTTAATAGAATTTGCTATTCGGAAAGGTGCTACCAGGCTCCTCTTGATTTTTGCTGCCATAAACTAACATGGCTCTCCTCATACACTGTCTGCTCAGTGCAGTAATTCTAAATGAAATAAAGGAATGAAGACGTAGAAAGGCACAAATGTTCATATGTGTGTATGTGTAAAATATGTGAGTGTGCATACTGTACATATATACGTGTAAAAGTATATACACACATAAGGAGAGAGATGCAAAATCATAACAATAGAGTCGTAACAGCTACTTTATTAATACAGGTTCTATTCCTGAATTGCAATGGTACAAATAAAATTTTTAGCTGTTAAGAACTGAATGCAGTAGGTCATTTGGAAGCTATTTAGGGGTTTATGTGAATTTGAGGCATACTGTGTGATTTGAGGTAGGAGGAATGTGTTTTTGTTTGTTTCTTTATTTACAAGGCTTATAGGCTACTCCAGTCAGCTGACAGTCAGTTACAGTAAGTAGCCAAAACCACCACTTCAAAAAAGAGGAGAACCACTGCAAAACAGTATCTCTGCTCCTAACCCTCAAGATAGTTTAGAAGGATGCCATGATCTGTGATATCAGAAGCCTCTGAGAGATTAAACAGGAACAGAAGGGTCACGCTACCCCTATCCTGGTTCTGCCAGAGATCATCTATAAGCGTGATCGGTGCTGTTTCCATGCTAAACCTGGGCCTGAAATCTGGCCTTGTTGTTAGAATGATTAACAAAATGATCAACCAGTACAGTTTGAGCCCCTGTGTGAGTGTTTGCTAATTTGCCTTAGCAGTTCAGTCTCTCAGTAACAGGTAAACATCAGAGTTGGCACCTCCTCCATAATAGAAGCAATCCTTAATATTTCAGTCCTTGAGACAGACAGATGACATCTTAGCTCACATTCTGCATGCTAGTGGATTGTTCTCGTAATACTTTATTTATTTATTTATTTATTTATTTATTTAATTCAATTTGTATAGCCGCCCATCTCACATTCATGACTGGGTGGCTTACAGTTACAGTTACTTTACTGTTACAAAGATCTTAAGCTTTGTACTTGTTTCCTCAATAATGAGTAAAAGGAAAACAGGATTTGTTTAAC